CAAATATTACCACTTCAGAGTTGAAATTGCTTTTTCTTATGACTGAATCAGTTGTTATTGAATTCAAGACGTTGAAGTAAACTACTATTTGCTGTAATTTTATGTAATATCTACTGTAAACCACATTTCGGTATTTTACATGTTGTGATATTTTCGGTGACAATTCGTAATTTTTCAAACATTTGAAGATAGAACAAAAAATGTGTAGTTTGACCCTCAAGTCGTATATCCTAATCAGTAACGGAGTAACCGCAGAAATGATTCCATACAGCCGAGAATTGTTTTGCTTTTTGTTAGAAACATTACATGAAAGAGTGCCTGCATTACCCTATAAAATGTCAGCATTGTGGACTTGCAGATCTTTCTCGGGAAAAGGTAAGAACCAGGAGTCTGAATATGTCTTTCCATTGCATTTATATATGATGACCCCACATGTGATATGTGTGACTTGATATTATGTTAGTTAGTTAAGGATAACCTTAATAGCTACGTTGCATATGCTGTAGTTTTATGTTAAAAAAACAGATAGTGTAGTATTATATGTATTATCTCATTATCTTAAATCCTATTTTATAATGACGAAATGCATGCTCAATTTTCTGATTCCCATATTTTTTATCCAGGAAGGCAGTATTAATTGATTGGTTGTCGTTATTTTATAGTTAAAACAACATCAAGACCGAACTAGTGGAGACTGTCCAATGAAAATGATACCATGCCCGTTCAACGCCATTGGATGTAAAATAGGGGTATGTAGTCATATCAGTGGATTTTCATCGGTTTAAAGTTTCAACAAATCTCGTTGAAATAGCTGGCATAATTTTTGAGCTATTTACGCTGTAGTTTGGGAATTATAGTTATTCGAATAAACTACGTTTAATATCAATGAGGGTGATAGCAAATACTTGTTCTCTGAATGCCTGCATTCTCGCCGCAAGAGTTTTTTTTTCGCTTCGAGACTGAACGAAATAAGTGTAGGCTTGTCGTAAAAGAGGTCGAGGCCGTGGCGTAAGACGATGAATGTCTGTTGATACTCCGGAATAGTCGGGATGTAATATGCCGACAATCTGACTATACGCAAATTATGATAATAATCATATATTTCATATCGCACCCTTTTGCAAAACACCGTTCCCACAAGGAGAATTACATAATACTAAAGAACCCCGTGACATAACTGGTGCAATGAAACGCCATTCACACGGGGGATATGTTTGCCTAATTGAACTAATAATCAGAATGTTGACGTAGAACAATATATAGCTTACTGAAATCAATAGGAACGACTGCAGAAACAAAAGTCGTTTTTTTTTTAATAACGTTGCTTACACCTGGTACGATCACAAGAACTATGTATGACGAATTACGGTATGATAAAGCACCCGTAATTTAGTTTTTGATTTGTCAGTATATCCATACTGGAATAAAATGCAACATCAGGTGTTACTAATATTGGATGTTTATCATACCACACTATGGACCACGTAGACGCCATACACTTTTGGTTCTGTGATTTAAATGTAATAACTAAAAAGTCTTATTTGAGCCTGGTTAATCAATCATAAATATGTATATAGAGTAATTGTTAATGAACTTGTTATTATTGATTTATACTTTTAGATGCCAGCTAAATATAAGAATGCACATTTAAAATCTGAAATCCCTGAACATCAGGATTTGTTGCTGAAGGCGTATGTAAAAGAAAATGCATCGGTTGTAGAAGTTAAAAAAGTGGTGCAGCAACTGTTATTAATGTGTGAAGCCCAGGACAGACGAATTCAGTTGCTGGAGATGACTTCCTACGATGGTGTATTGGTATGGAAAATTTCCGACTTCAATCGCAAGAGAAACGCCGCCATATCTGGACGTACTACATCTATCTATTCGCCTTGCTTCTTTACTAGTCGCCAAGGTTACAAGATGTGTGCTCGAATATATCTGAATGGAGATGGAATGGGCAAAGGAAACCATGTGTCCCTTTCCTTTGTCATCATGCGGGGAGAATATGATCAGTTGCTAAGATGGCCATTCAGGCAAAAGGTCAGTTAAAAGTTAAAAATATCCCTCATATCCATCTTGTCGGGTCATTTGCAGGTATGGAGCATGGTCGTGGTTAGGGTTTACAATATGGAAAACGAACTAACCAGTCTGTCATTGCTGTGTGAACTATTTTTTTAGATTTCTGACTATGATCAGATGATGAGGGTTTTCCCTGAAATATTCTGTCAAATTAAGATACTGAATTTCACCAATTTGACCTCAATTTTATTAATACAGAAGAGGGTTAAACTAATAACATTTAATAACAATGGTATCCGATCCGCAATGATTTCGCAAGGGGGTTAATTTCCTTACAGATTGCACATTAGATGCAAATCTATCAGTGTACCTGTGTGGGTTTCACATCTCTCACCGTCTTTTACAGTTACAGTCGATTAAAGTTATATGTATATCATTGGACTTATCATCTCGCACTTCTTGGAAACAAAATAGTTTTAAAACACAAGTTGTCGATCTTCATTTGGGAACGCTTCATAGAACCACAGGACACATTCAGTGTTTTGTGTTTTTAACAGTTTCAACAATATGTTAATTTACAGCGTAAACTTCTAGGTCAAAATATATATTTGAACATATCTATCTAACCTTTTTATGAATATGTATAAACTTTGAATCATCATAGTATACATCCATAAGTATGGTCGATGTTATAAACGCTTGAAAATATGGAAATGTCTTTCTAGGTAGTAATCTTAATTTTTAACAAATTAATCATATTTAATCTTTATTAAAAATAAGTAATTTAAAGCCGTTGGGTAGATATATTTCAATATAGAACACTGGTACCTTATTTAGCTTATTACAATACTGTGTGAAGAACCAGAAGTGCAATACAATTCAATGCCCCAGCTTCAAGGAAATTAATGTCTGAAAAATAGCACAAAGATCCACATTTGTTGATGAAATTCATTTACATTATATGACAAGTACTGTGAATAATAAATGGCATTTCGGTCATTGCTGAATGAAATATAAATTCGTTTTAACATAAATACCGTTCACAATTTTGTTCAATTTTATGAAACAATACCAATCTTAATTTTTTTTTGGAAAGTTAGAGCTTCAATGATGAACAACTTCATTGGAAAATATATATTTGTAACCAAATGCTAGCATGTGTGTATGTTATGTTTACAAGAATGGGCACACGTGTTGCATTATCCCCGAATCGGAAAATTATCTAATACACTGCATTTCCTTCCTCTGTTTCCATTTTTTCACGCAGGTGACTTTAATGCTGCTTGACCAGAATCACAGAGAGCATGTTATTGATGCATTCCGCCCTGATCCGACTTCAAACAGCTTCAAGAAACCTACTGGTGACATGAACATCGCTAGTGGATGTCCTCTGTTTATGCCGCTTAGTCAGCTGAATAGTAGTCGCCATTCCTATGTCAAAGATGATTGTATGTTCATAAAGATTATCGTGGATACCGTAGATATAAATTGACTTTGATTTGCATAGTGTTACAATTTTTTGTCTAGCACATTACGATTTTGATTTTGTTTTGAGGTTTTATTATACGGAACAGACTAGTTTTTTTTTTCACATCATTCGGAATCTTGTTTACATAATTACTACATTAGTTACAATGCCCACATTTGTAATCTTGATTAAGGCAGATATTTGGGTCACTTTTACGGTACTAGTTTTTGAATCAAAAGCCATAGTCAAAAATTAAACCTTCCTAATCAGATGACTAGATTCATACTGAACGTGTAGATATAATACATCGTTTTATGTGTAAATAATTAGATGTGAAATAATACAGTTGTAATTGTTTCATCACCATGGCATCCAACAAAACGCTTCATTATTATGGACCATGTAAGATACAATTTAGTTTAATGTATCGATTGTGTCACATTGTATTACCCACATTTAATTGTTTACTGCAAGTTGGGAATGTAAACCATTATTCTGTAATAGATAATAATGTGACTTGCGTCAATCAATTAATTGACTACCAGTAACTAACTCTGTAGTTGCATATTTATCTTAATAGTTTTTTGTAATTAACGTAGTAATTTGAAACTCGGATTTTGTTCACATGGACAATTACATTATATAAATGTAAAATATATGTAGATAAGTGAAAAAATATTCAGTGGTAAACAATGTGTGATTTGCATAAACTAGTGTATTATGTTAGCCAGAAATTTCGTCTGAACTTCACTAACGTAATACCGCTTAATATATTAAATTAATTGTTTGACATTTCTTTTTTCTCATTTATGGCTATAGTTTTGTGCCTACATTTCAAACTAAGACCATTGTATTATTAGTATTTGTGATCAGTATAGTTGCTTTAAAATAATTAATTTTACAATTAAATAAATAATTTATGAATAAATTAACCTGATATAATTTAACCTGTATTATTGCCATTACCTTTAAATATATTGTTAAAGAATATATCAACAAATATATTATTGTCAGTGCATGTAGAATTAAGATCGTTGACTTGATTCACATTACCTTTACCTAACTGGCGGCGATGTGCAATTCATTATGATAAAAAAAAACATTTTAGTCTTCAAAACTGTGAACAACATTTATAGAATGCAATCTACCATATCAATGAGTACATCTATTTTAGTCTACTAGTAGATTCAAATCACTTAATAGGCAAATATAAATGCATGGCACATATGAGCGTTTTGATACATGACAGAATGTTGCTATTTAGGGCAGTATTTTAGCAGTATCGAGTAGTTGATATACACATTACCATTCAACGTACGATTCATGAGATGAGCTGTGCAATCCGTTACTGTCAGATCATTTGCTAACCGAATGAGACATATAAAGATGAAATCAATCAATCTCACCTTTCAGAAATATTGGTAATGTATGCTCTATAAACAATCCTCCCATCAATAATAATTGTCTAGGATATATCCACCTGAACTTTAAATAAAGAAAAACACAGAATCTTCTGTCTAAAGTATTGCTGTTCTCTTCCGACTATTGAATTTATATTAACGGTTGGGTAAGTCAGTGTTTTTTTTAACATACGCTTAGTGCGAACATTCAAAGATACTGATTATACTGAGTATACTCGAGATGGCTGGATTCTATGCTGAACATGTTGTTTATATGTACTACTAGTATGTATAATAGTTGTAAACCGTAATGTGTATTTATAGCTGATTGACCGAATTATACCACAATGCTATCAGGTCAGTGTACTCGTACTTTGTACTCATACTCACATTTGATTAAATAATCGATAACACTTTGTTATACAAACAATGTGTAAATGTTTAACTTAATAGCAACATCAGTGCCTTGCACAACTACCCAACTAACCAACTCATACTTGATGATTGATATCTTGGTGAAGTAATCACGGTTGTTGTGTCACATATCCTTATTTCTCAGCAGTACTTGGTGAGTTTACAGTGTTTCAACATAAACTATCGATGATTTTTATAGAAAAACACAGAATCTTCTGTATAAAGTATTGATGTTCTCTTCCGACTATTGAATTTATAATAACGGTTGGGTAAGTCAGTGTTTTTTTAACATACGCTTAGTGCGAACATTCAAAGATACTGGTTATACCAGTGTGAATTGGATCTGCCGCATGTATTATTATATAAATGTAAATTATTTCCTAGACGTACACAATTTTACCTTACATTCATAAACGTATTTGAATATCGGGAAAATGGTACTGTATAAATGTATTGCATATGCACTTGCGCATTCTCCAGATATCTAAATTGCCATCACTACCAAGAAAAAATCCGAAATCACAACAATTGTGGTCATTAAGCAGCATAATATGGTGATATAACGTGTATTAATAATCAATACACTGTATTTTTCTTTTTCCTTTATTATTTTCGTTTGTCATTTCCGGATTTACCTTACTTTATGCTTACAAGGGTCGCATAATTGTTTTGAATGGTTCCTGATTCTGTGAAATCGGCGATATATTTTTTTTCAAATCTCCGCAAAGAAAAACTGAAGTATTAAATATAATTATCAATAAAAAAATACGTGTTATGATTGAAGATTGTTCTGTATTCTGTGATTGAATGGTGTAATTTAGAAAACTTTGTGTACGTTTAAACATGTTTATTCAAATTACGGTATAGATGCAGGTTCGTGGGCTTATCCAATCTTGACTTAGATTTTGGAAAGAGATGTATATTAAGCTAGAGATGCAGTTTATCTGACAGGTCAAAAGTGATTTTAAAAAAAGCTTCTAAACCATGCTTCTGTTTCCTGTCAAAATTGGTTTATGGGTACATCTGTTTACTATGAAGAAAGTGCCGTCTTGAAAACTGTCTACCAGTTGTCAATTTTGCAGAGCAGCAGCCCAAATTTCACTACTTCAAGTTTATGCATAAATTAACACCCAGGCTAGTTGTCTGTACGATTGCTGTAACACTGTTCAACCAAAAAAAAAATGCCCCGACGGCGTTTGAAGATAAACACATTGTCAATCATTTGTGAAAATTTCAAAACAAAAAGTCAAAGCGTCTAGGAGCAATTTTTTTTAAAGTTCCGGGATGTGCACTAAAAAGAAGCTGAGATAATTGCTAATTTGCATAACAATTCACTTAGTAAGAAATTTGCTAATGCTCTTCATTAAAATGGCGTTACCAGTTCCAAATTTAAACGTATTATCGTTTTGTTAAAAGTTGATAGTGCATAATATGGAGATCCGTTCACCATGTTTCTTTTTTGTTATTTATGTACAGCCTTGCTAAATCTTGCTAAGCATTCAAAGGAGAGAATGTTTGTTCCTGTTTTCTATATTTTAAAATCGTTCTTTGAGTATGTTCCACTATTCACAATTCTACAAAATTTTAACAGTCTATAGCCAAGACTGTTTGGATAATAAAAAGCAAAAAAAAATTCACTCCAAAGTGTGCCCACGAACCTGCATCTCTACCATAACTGCTAGCCAGAGTTCCAAAAGTCAGCTTACCGGTGAGTGTTCCTGTTAAAGTGGCGAAGACTTCAAAATCTAAACACTAAACACTAGGCCTGTGGTTTCACTTTCTTGGAATTCCACAGACTATATTCCCACCGTCATCGTCCAGAATATTAGCATGTTATATGAGTTAATGTTTAGAGACATGACCCCAAACATCACTCCAGAGCTTGGATATATCAGGACTACACCTCAGGTGCGAACATTACCGCGAATTAGATTTTTGTCGCTTGTGAAAGCCTTAGCGCAATACCTCATTAGTCATGTGATTGATGTATTCGTCTGCACAGTTTACTGATATTATTCACGGGATTTCCCAAGCTGCATTGCAAATTAAGAGGATAACTATTTGAGACTTACTCATTATGCATATGGAGTACAGCACTCAATTTTCAAAACAAATTGACAGAAAAGCAAATTTGAATGAATCACATAATTATTGTTAGAAATGTATTCACGAGTCCGGGCTTAAAGGTATCTTACCGTCGATTAATTTAGTACGTAATAGCATTAAAATAATAACACGAATAAAAAAGCACTGACGAAATAACCAAATATGTGGAAACATTTTAATGTTTGAACCCTGTTGTTACTTTGCAGGTGAAAACAAAGTCTGTATGGCTTATCTTTTCTATTGTCAATGTAATAACATTATGTTTTAGTATATTACAAAAAGGAAGATTCCTGAATAAATAAATACAAATAAAGACGATCAAATAAAAATTATTTAAAACTTATTTAACACTTTTTAAGAGCTGTAGTAATCATGATCAGTGCCAGCGTTTCACAACTAGTGCAATAAATTATGCCATACATGGCATTTTCTATGCGATACCATGAAAACCGTACCAAAATGTTCATCCGGGCAACTCGCGATCGGCGGATCATTTTATGAGCTCAGAGGTCTTACATCATCCAATAGGCCTGGTTATTGCAGTATATCACTCGGACAGTAGTGTTATTAATTTGTTTATATTGTGTTGATGAGGCTATTATAGGTTTAACAAATTGATATTGATGACACGTGGTGATAAAATGTTAACGATCTTGTCTACTGAATGCTACAACATGAATCAAATTCAACGAATACGAGCCAGGTAGTCAACTAACTAAAAATGAGAATGTCTTAAAGTTCTAATAAAGGCAGCGTAATAGTTGGTGCTTTGTTTTAAGTTCCTTTTAGTAGTAAATGGCAAATAAATTATCAGTTTGTTTCACGTCTGTATCAACCACTGATAAAACTGCTATTGTTATACAAACAATGTGTAAATGTTTAACTTATAATATCAGTGCCTTACACGAGCTCCCTTCTATCTCAGTCACACCTGACGAGTGGCATCCACAGATGCTGTGTCGTATCTCCTGATTTGCCAACAGTTAACGTAATTGGTGAGTTAGATTGTTTGTACCATACGAGTATCGATGGGTATAAGCTTAACACCAATGTAAAACGTATTTTAACATTACCATTCATTGCGTATTAATGTCGGTTCCAAAT